GACAATATTACATTGCATAGGCTGAGACCATTACAAACACCATGCAATAAACAGTAATATCTGCCTTCCTAACGTATCTATGTATCTGCATCTCTATCTCCTGCCCCTGTTACCCTTCCTGCTTGTTCATCATTTCTGCCAAGTTCATGTAGCATTATTCTCTAAAGCAATGACATCTCAAGGTAGACTTTCCATGGGAAACTTCTGACAGCTCTACTTTCTTGAATGACCTCATATTTTTTCCTCGTGGTCCTTCTGCTGACTGCTGATGGCGATGAACCTGAGCAAATCACGGGGACCTTCTCACACGTGCCATGTTCTCTATTGATGTGTCTAAGGAGCCTTATATTCATCTTCATGAGCAGCTGCTGTGTTGTTCCTCCTGAATCATCAGAAGCAGAGTGATATTTCTCCTCATCCAGAAAAGACTAGGCTTGCATACTGCGGTGAGCATAATCTCAGCGCTCCTATTGATGAACTGTGGGTATAAGATTCACCAGTATCACGAGGACAGCTTCTCGTCCAACACGAATGTAGTAAGGTGAAAAAGTAGTCATATAATCAAAATTAGCCCCTGAAGAATCCCTGTAAATCCCACAAAAAGGATGGAAAACATTGTTTTGCATATAGCCTCTCAAAAAAGTCCACCACATTGAGTTCTCTTAGTCTTGCATTGGAAGCATCCTCATTTCTTCAAATGAACCTCAGATGAAGGGGTTGGCTTGCCTGGCTGGGTTTGTTCTACCGAAAAGAAATGCTTTGGTCGCTATTTATGTCCAGCAGATTTACTAGAGCTTATATAAATTGAAAAAGGTGTATGATGTGGTTTTACTGATTATGTTTTTTTTTTTATCAGCATGGCAAAGAGAGCAGAGAAAAGAAAGCTGGCCAACTACATGAAACTCAGAAAATCTAATTTCGTAGCTCAGAGGTTCATGAACTTATTCTGTAAATAATTTAGACTTGTGGGCTATATCGCCTCTTCAGCAATTCTTTAACTCCGCCTTATATCATGAAAGTAGATGGTACGTATGTGAATGGTCATGGCAATGTCCCAGTAAAACCTTATTTACAAAAGCAGGTGGCCAGAAGCACTTGGAGTGCAGGTCATGGCTCGCCAACCCCTGATGTAACTGACTGACTGCTTGCCTAGTCTCCCCTGTCCAGTCTCTGCACTCATCCATGTATCCATCCATCCGTCCACCAGTCAGCCACTTACTGATTCAGGGCACGTATGTTGAGGGCCTGTAGTATACATGAGGCATAAGCACCTGTATTAGGTGGAACATCATTGCTTTTGTTTTATGCTGAGACAAGAGGGCACACGGTAATTGTGGCTCTCCTGCTCTGGCTGTCACTGAGACTAGTGAAGCTGAGGCAAGTCCCCAAAGTCAGGACATCCTCCTCTTCACATCTAGTTGCCTCTGACACCCACCTTCATTTCAAGCTGTCTCTTTTACTTGTAATTTTTCCTTGACCTGCAAGGCAGAAAAACAAACAAATAAGCAAATCTTAAAATTAGATCTGAAACTTAAAACCCCCTTGCCCAGGCACAGGGTGGGGGGTTGTGAGAGGACTGGCCCTGCAGGAGATGGTCCCTGCCCCCTCTTTGCCACCTCCAAAGCAACTTTTCCTTTCAGATTCTGCCAGGGGCTAGTGGTTCTCCTTAGTGCTTCTTCTTGCATACTTTTTATAAGTAGCATTATTTATAAGACAGTTTTACTTATCCCAAACATCTAAGTGTGGCCATTGGTGCTCTTTGGGAAAATGTGAAGAGCCTCCACCACCCCTAGGGTGGTATTCTCAATCATTCAATCCAGAAGAACCTCTAAACTCAATCACAGGCCTGCAGAAATTGCACAAATGGCACATGACTGAAGCCGGGTGTTATTCCAAAACTATGGCCTTGCCCTGGAAAATGTAGAGTAACACAATGGAGGGATGGAGGGATAGATGTGGAATTTCTGGGTTCACTTCTGACATGGTAGAGACAAAGTGACAGATATATGTGAGACTCTGCATGCAGATGACAGATCCTTCTGTGGGACCTGCCATGTGTCTTCCTCTGACACTCTGGGAGTTAAGGGTCATTGCCTGAAGGGGCCTGCGTTTGCTACCAAGTAGCAAAGTTGGCTCCAGCCATGAAATGGCCTCTCTCCAGTTGCTGGCTGGGCCTTCTGATCTGTGCATAGAGCTCTGAAGGCCTTTTGGTTTGAACAGGTGCTGAAAGCTGGGGAAAGCCAAAATATTTGACTCTTTCTGGGTCATGAACTGTTTGCTGTTGGAAACATCTGTATGGACGGGTGAACAGGCTAAACATAACAGAAGTGTGGTGAACGATGATAGCAGTCTTCAGTAGGGAGCCCCCTGAGAACCCCAATAAAGTCGATCTCTTAAGCACAAGCCCCTTGCTTCGGGCGGCAGTGACAGGCAATGAATTATCCACATTGGTTAAAAGGGCAAGGTCGCCATGTAACAACATTGTCCATATGCTGCAGCTAAATCAAGCCTGTCCCCAAATATCATTTGGGGGAGATGTGCATGTGTGTGTGTGTGTGAATGTGCTTGGCGTGAGGGGATGATGTAGGCCTGCTTTCAAAAGCAAAAATCACCATAATTAGGGGAAATGCTACAAGTTCATTTCCTCAAAAGAAGAGCAAGTGAGAGAGAAGGAGCTTAAAAACTAGATGTTTAGACAGGCCTGCAAGCCCCCTTGTGACCTTGCTCTGATATTTAACAAAACATTAATCTTCTTGCCAGCAATTATAAAGGATACAGTGATGTCGCTGGCTCTCAGAGAATGAGTAATAGTAATTCCATTGTTCCCCTTTATTTATGCCTTGGCTGTACCAGGCAGATGAGGTAAGTTGGGGCTTTGATATGTTATTATTCCGCACTGGCAATACATAAAGGATGCTTACACAAATATCTGTCTGTTTCCGAGGCGCTGTTTCACACCTCCTTACAACTCACGATCAAAGCGGTTCAACATTTTATTATGAAATCATGAAAATCCTCCTCTAGTTTGCATATGAATTATAGCCTTTTTAAAAACCACCAGTGTACCCCAGTGACAGTGGCTTTTGAACTGCAAAAGGGAACTAGGTGTTAGACATTTCTTCCTTGAAGCTGTGACTAGCCGTGTAACCTTGCTGAAAGCTGTTTGCCTGGGTACTGCCCCAAACCTCCCGCAAACACAAAAGCTAGGGTGGAAGGGGGGGGCCTCAGTGTCATGGGGAGGCCAATGATTTTTCCTTCCCTTGTCGGGAAACAAAAATTTGGTGTGAAAGCCTCCTTTGGGAGGAAAAGAGAAAGGAAAGGTTACACACCTCGTAATTTCAAGCTAAACAAAAAAGCCATCTTTGTCTTCCTAAACTAAAACAAAATCCTTATCCAGAGGTGAGGGCAGCAGCTGTGCTTCCATTAGTGATGACTGCTAAGTTGTGGCCCAGACTTCTTTCTCACATTGGTCTGGCAAGCAGAGAAGCACTTGCTTTTTTCTTGTAGGATTTGCATATCAACTGGGGATCTTCCTTTTCCGTTGGCCTCTTCTTCTGGGGACAATTAATAATCTCCCTTGGAATGTGGAGGGTGGGAGGGAAGTAGCCTGACGAAATTGGTGTCTCTGGGATACACATGTGCCTGAGAGTATTGACGCTTTCATTTAGGGTTTCGTTTCTTCTGTGAATCTGTAGATGGCAATAAATCAAGGCAATCATATTTTAGTGAGGAGAGCTTTGTTTGGGATGGGGAAAGAGCCATCTGTAGTATGGAGGGTACACTTCAGACGGAACTAAGTCCTATTGCCAATAGCTGGGCCTCCGCCTTGGATTAGCACCTGTGTACCGGCTGCATCTCAATGGCCATGAACGTGCATTGTTTTATCGAACATGGGGGATAAGGAGGTGCTGCCTGGCAAAGGGGAGGAAGGAAGGGAAGACAGTCCAACAAAGTGAGATTCTGCACTGCATTCCAAGTCTCAGACTGCACTGTGGTGCGCTGGGCAGTGGACAGCAGCCAAGGCTCTGAGCAGCTCCCGGATACAGACAGAACGAGGCTCTCCGGCTGAGAAATCACCCTCCCTGCTTTTGTAGAGCAGGAAGTGGGGTGAATGGTTGGTGAGGGGCTGCCACAGAGTTGCCAAATTTTTCTCCAGAGGCAGGTCTGTCTGCCTGCCTGTCCACACTTCTTGTTGGTTTTTGTTCAAGGATACTATAAATGCCATTGGGTTGTGACATAATATTCTTACAGTAAAATGTGTGAACTCATCTCAGCAGCACCCTGAATGGCGCACCACTGTATGTAAGTAGCTCACTGAGTGACTTAGAGTTTGCCCCAATTCACTTAAAACATGGAGTGATTTGTCAGAAATGTAGTGATAACTTCTAATCCTGCCCCCTCTTTCCTCCCCATTATTTAAAGATAATGTGCAAGTTAAGGTCCCACTTAATCCTGCCATCCTGTCGACCTGCCTCTATTACTCATTGCCAGCAGGAAACCTTCACTCATGACCTGAATCTCTTGCACACCATATGTCCTCTCGGACCATATGTTTATTATGCATCTCACTTCTCCCTCAAAAGGACAAAAAGTTTTATTTTATGAACTAGCTCAAAACAATTGGGAAAGCCTACCTGGAATGCTGTGTTGAGAAGAATTCTGAAGCCTAGACTGCACTAGGGGTGGGAGAGAAGAGTGGTTTGATTGATTAGTGATGATTGATTAGTGATGCCTACCATAGCCACGGAATAGCAAAGGAAGCAACTGCGCTGAACTGTCACAATAGTAGCCCTCTGGGCTGCCCACCCTTTCCCTTCCTCCCTCCAAATGCTAACGTCCTCCGGATCCAAGTGGAGTCCCTCCTCTTCCCTGAAGCCTTCAGTACAAATGACCACCCCCTACTCCCTTGCTGAGCATCTTTATGGTCCCAGTGTCTACTGGGAATTGAATCATCGTCCACCTTTAATGACTACTGCCCTTTTTCCTAGGTGCGTGGCTTGGTTTCCTAGTGAGATGAGACACTCTTGAGGACGGGACCTACTTTCTTCCCCTTATCAAACAGCCCAAATGCAGAACACATTGATACTGCTCAGTAACCAAGCATGAAGCAAGTTGTAGGATTCACAATATCACGGTTTGCTATAAAATGAGCCGTGAGTATTTCTCTATCAATCCCTGCCCTGCATGCTCTGTTCTGTCTTTGAAGTGCACAGTTACCTCTGATACCCCTACTGGCTACATTGAAAGAGCCTAAGATGTATGTCCCAGGTAACGTTCAAGGTCTCACCAAGAAAGATATTGTACTTATTGCCCAAACCCACAAGTATTCATTTGATACTTAGGGAGAAGGCAGTGAACTGCCATACAACTATGTCTACTGTAATTTAATTTAAAGAGTGATGTGTTCCTTTCTTCTATTCATTCTACATTAAAGGAAGGAAGAAAAGAAGGAAGGAAGAAAGTGATGAAACTGTGTTCAGAAAAGGGGCAACCCTTAGGAGTTTGTGTCTGTAACTCTAAAATGATAATCGTGTGTTTCACAAGTTGTGCACGTAAAGGATGCTTTCTTCTTGTTATTCTGAGAAAAGATGGTCTAAATCTCCTAACCCAACTTGGAAAACTAACTTGAATGAGGCTTCTCAGTTTATGCAGCACCTTCATCAAGGAAATTGATGCCAGTCCAGTGAGGGAGAGTCTTCTTTGGCGGGTCATCTTGGGCAGTTAGTAGACAAATGCTTGCTGAGAGTCCCTGAGCCCTGCCTTCTGTGGGCACTTTGGGATATGAAAGAAGCATCAGGGGTGGGCCTTCTTACAGAAAACCCACCGAGAAGAGGCGGGGGGCAAGGGCGAGGAAGGAGAATGGTCAGATGGTCACAGGGTGGATATTGCTGCTCGTGTTCTGTAAATAGTGCCAATAACAGCAACACACATGTTGAGGGTGCTCCAGGTACCAGGCGCTGTCCTAAGCTCCTCAGAGACATTCACTATGAGGTAGGTGCCCTTCTTGTCATAATGCTTTGCAGATGAGAAATCAAGACACCTGGAGGTTAAGAAAAGGCAGGCTCTTCAAGACCAGGAAGTGTTAGGGATAAGCAAGACCACCCTCTGGAGCTTTTTTGCCTTTGGGTCTTGGGAGAAGGGACCTGCCATTTGCTGGGGTCTTTGTTTTCTTTAGCAAGGATAGTATTGACCAAATATTTAGACCTACCAGAAAAGAGTAGGGTCAGATAATTTTCTTTTCCCTTCCAAGCCCTGAGATAGAGACACACAGAGAGAAATGGAGTAGGAGAGAGAGCCAGAGAGAGTGAGCAGGGGACAGCTGGGGAAAGGCGGCAGGGGACAGCCAGACAGAGAAAGGGAGAGGGAGAGAGAGACAGAGAGACAGAGGTAGAGTGACTCCATACAAGCCAAGAAGGAGCAGTGTTCTCAAGTGTGAAAAGTTTTTCAAGCACTGGCCTGGCCTCTGGCTGCTGGCATGTCCCCCACCCCCGTGTCCCCCGCTCAGCCCAGCAGCCTAGCTGACACGTGATGGAGGCTCACAAAGGAAAGAATTCCACAGACTCGGCTCTGAGCTTGTTCATAATTTGTCACATTGTTCTCCCACTTTGCTGCACATATGAGATATGTAAGACCCCCGACGGCTCTGAGACCACTGCCGTGGCTGGCACAATGGGGGAGAGTTGAGGCTGAATGGTGGCTGTAACCTGGGGTTCCTTTGCCTTTGTGATGGCCAATGAGATGCTTCAAGTCATTGGGGTGGGTGGGCCTTTGTGAGAACAGTTAAAAACCAGGAGGCAAAGGGTGAGGGAGCAAAGGCTATCTGCATACATGCAAGTTACTCAGCGGGTGTTTCTGGGGTGGTGGGAAGAGGAGCTGGGTATTTAGAACATAATCATGCTCATTTGTAGAACCTACAGCAAGCAAAGCCTATAACCAACTGCGGGCAGGGTTTTCTTACAGTCATTTTCAAGTTAGCTTGCTCTCTCCACCTGCGTGCCCAGACCCTGTGGTAATAGGCTCTCAGGCTCACCGCAGGCTGGGGCATTCTGAGGTATATGTACAGAGAACAGGCAGAAATAGAGATGACCCACTTGGGGATGGCACCCACGTATGAGGCTGCAGTTGCTGTGTGTCCTGATAGCTTTGGGTACTGTGGCCATAGATAGCATTCCAAATGTCCCTCTTCTGAGACTCACCCCTGCCCTGGAGCCAGAGCTCTGGTTCCCTGGCGACCGCCCCTCCCTGCCTCTTCTTAGCTCCCACTTCGTCCTGATTTCCTTTCATAGGCGCCTGTGTCTGTGCTGCATTAGGCATATAGCCATTTGGAGACTCAGTTTTCTCATCTGTAGATTGGGGAGAAACCTATAACTGTCAAAGTTTGGAAATTGAAGGCTGGGCTCAATCATCTCACTCTTGCTATGTCTCTTTTTTTCTTATTTTTAAAATTATAAAACATAGTATATGCACAATATATATAACACCTATTTAGTTGTGAAGCATACTAATAATAAACACCATGCACTTACCACCACTCACATGAAGAACTAGAAAGTGGCCAGTATGGCTGCATCTCCCAACCTGTGTGCTTCCCTCTGATCTCATGCCCTGGCCTCCGCACTCCCACAGAATTAACCACAGTGTATATATACATATGTACACACCTATAAATAAGTAACCAGATCATTTTAAATGGTGGGACATTTCAAGCACATACCAAAGCAGAGATAATGTACAGTGAGCCCACATGGACATCACCCAGCTCCTACAGTTGTCAACTCATGGACAGTCTCGTTGCATCTCTACTCAACCCACTTCCTTCCCTTTCATGTGATTGTGATATCATTTTATTTCTTCTAATTTTGAAAAACATAATTCCTTGCTGTTCTTTATAGTTGATCACATATGAATACATTTCTAAACAATAGAGTTTTAAATTTTCCTTCTCTATGTATTCTATGAAAACAGGATTATTTGGTATGTCTTCTACAATTTGTATTTATTCAGCTTTATGCTCTAGATTTCATCCTTGTCGATGCATGTAGCTATAGCTTATTCATTTTTGTTGCTGTTTATTATTTCATTTTACAAATACTCCATCATTTATTTATCCACTCTTCTGTATATAGGCATTAGGTTATTTCCTATTTGAGCAATTTTAAACAAAACTGTTACTGTTACAAATATTCGCAGACATCCCTGAGAATATATACTTGTGGGTTTCTCTAGGTACAGACCATGAGTCAAATTTTTACATCCTACCATATATACCTTCCTAATCTTATAGATAATGCCAAATTGTTTTTCTGAAGTGGCTATTTTTACCAATGCTCACACATTGATGTCTGAGTTTCCACCACCTCACATCCTCACCAGAACTTGATATTGTCAGATTTTAATATTTTGCCAATGTAGTGGGTATGAAGAGATTTTTCACTTTAGTATTAATTTCTCTCTTCCTGTTTATAAGTAAGGCTTAGCACATGGTCCATTTTCAGCTGCCCATTGGCCATTTATGTTTCTTCCTGTGAAGTTCCTTTCCATGTCTTTTGCCTAATTCTATTCAATTGTTCTTTTTTTGCCTTAATTTTCAGAGTTCTTTAAATATTCTAAATGCTAAACTTTTATTGATTGATTTTTGATCAATTGTCTGGAAAATGGATTATGCCAGTTTGTAGTATTTTCCCCTCACTCTCTGTGTTGATTTTTGATGAGCAGAAGTTCTTACATTTAATGTAGAAATGCTTGTTAATGCTCTGTGGTGGTGGTTATTATTATTATTATTATTATTATTATTATTATTTTGGTCTTACATAAAAAAATTGTGCCCACTCAAGGTGGTCATGAAGACATTTTACTTCATTTTCTTCAAGAAGTTTTAAAGTTTTGCTTTTTACATTTAGGGGGTTGATGTACCTGGAATTGATTTTGGTGTATGGTATGAGGTAGGGTTCTACTTTTATTTTCTTGTCCATGTGTATAATAAATGGCCTCAGCACCACTTACTGAATAATCCATCTCCCTGAAATAGTTCATGGAGTCACACTGCAGCCTGATGTGTCCCAAGAAAAAAACAGAACAGAATAACGTGGCGCAGAATGACTGGGATGTTGGAAGGGAGAAGTTGACAACGTGGAAATAAGGAAATGGCTTCACTGAATAGATGACATTTGAGCTGAACTAAGAAGGAGACAGCCCTGTGAAGATCTGTAGATAAAGATTTCTGTGCTGAGGAAGTAGTGAATGCAAAGGCCCTGAGATGAAAAGCTTTACATACCTAAGGAGCAGGAAGAAGGTTTAGAGGGACTGGAATGTAATGAGTGATGAGATATTTGAGTAAGTGGAGTCCAGGCTCAGAGCTATCATATTACATCAAATATTACAGGCAATTAAAAGGAACTGGGGTTTATTCTAAACACAGGGGAAAACAATTGGGAATTTTAACACAAAGAAAAAAAAGTAACCTAATTTATATTTTTAAAAGATCACGTGGGCTGGAAGGTAACAAATGTACTGTAAGGGCTAAAAGTGGAGACAATTACAAAGTCCAAGCAAATGATGATGTAGTTAGGATGAAGGTCCGTTTCAGCAGGCTGGGAAACTGATGCCTCCATGCATTGATTCATCTGGCCAGATAACACATGGAGCACGTTCTTGGGGTCCAGAACCATATTTCTTTTTGCTCCTCCTGTGCTCTGATTCACCCGGCCCTGTGCCCTGGAGTAGCCATCCTTCAAATTTGTCAGAATCCTCTCCATCCCACAAGGCCCTGGTCACATGCTTTCTCCCCCAAGCAGCCTTTTCCTGACTCCAGGTGGAATAAATCTCTCCATCTTCTGGGCTTTGTTCTCAGGCTGCTTCTCCAAATGCACCTGCAGGCTCCCTGCCTGGTCCACCTTGTTTTGGGGTAACATGCATGCATAGATTCTAGTCTTCATCTTTGTCTTGCCAATGGGTTTCAGCACCAGGCAAGTTTGCTATGGATTCAATGTGACCAAAAAAGTTGACAGTGAAACGTTCTTTGGGGTGAAAGGGTTTATTACCCGGCTTGTTCTCCCTGCATCAGGTCGTCTCTGCCTCCGCCCAGAGCACTGGGCCGAGCTTTCTATATAGCGCAATAATAGCTTATTGCCTAAAGGTGTGGAAGAGGCAGCCTAGCAACACGCCAGTTACATCATCAGGTGGTTTAAGTTCAGTGAGGATCCTGGCCATAGGAACCCCAACTTCCCCACATCTTGCTACTAACAAACTGACCATAAGCCAGTCCCTTTCTCAATCTGGGCCTCAGTTTCCCCATCCCAACACAAGGATGGAAGGGTTGGTTGGATCCTCCTCAATATCTTTTTCAAACAATAAGACTTCGTATCAATTTCTCTCCTACCCTGTTCGATTTAAGCATATTGAGACCAGGTATCATATTTTCATTTTTGTTATTCTTCCCAGGCTCTTATTGAGTTAATATTGACTATTATTATAATATAAATAATCATCATTTGCTAATAAGCATTCACTCAGTTCTAGGTGGTGCTTTGTGTAGGCTATAAACATGAAAAATGGTAGAAATTTGAAAATGTAGACTACTATTTCTGGTTGTGCTGGCTACTTCATTTAGATTCTCCCTGAATATCTATTTAGGAATGTTCCTGGGTCTGATTGTATGTATGGCCTTACATTTACTTTTTTCTTCTTTTTCTGACTATGGTTGGTTGCTGTCAGCCATCTGTGTTTGTGTGACGCTTGTGTCTGTCTAGCTGGATGTGTGCTGTTTAAGTAACCTTGTCATTAACTTGACTTGACAAGTGGTCTGATGACTAGTTACAAATTATCTAGTCCTTTTCGTGTTGTTTTTGCAGACTGATTTAACTTGATGGATTCCGGAGATGCCAGGAAAGAGGGACAGCATATCCTCCTTGCCTGGATCCCAAATTGGCAGTTGAACAGCTTGGAAGCCAGCATCTGAAGAGCTGTGGCTGCTGGCTGCTGTAGCCAGTGACGGTCACTCCAAGATGCTGTACAGAATGGTACGTGTCTTCCTTCCTGTCTTTATGGGTCTCTGTGGGTCATAGAATGCCTTGCTTAAGGTCAGTATTTCTTGGGCATCTGTCTGGTGCTGCCATTCTTAGAAATACAAGCTATGATCTCTGCTCTCAGGAGCTTCAGAGAGTGAAGGCATTGGCCCTGTGCCCAGAAAGCTTCGAACCCAACTTGGCAAATGCTGTGGAAGACATGTACTCAGAATGCTGAATCAATGCAGAGTTGTGCATGATGAAACCAGGGAAGGCTTCTCAGAAGAGGTAGCATCTGAAATGGATCTTAAAAGGTGGATAGATATTGGCCAAATGGAGAATAGCATTCCAGGGAGGTGAAAGAGAATATATAAATACGGGCACCTAAAGAACGTTTCATACAGAGCAAGGAGTTCAATAAGTCTCCAAGCAGGAGGTGTGTTAGAGACGGGAGGATGTCCAAAAGTCAGGAGCCATGCTGAGATTTGAACCCTAACTAGTGCTCAGTCCTAACCAACCCAAGATTTCTAGGCAGGGGACTTCACGTTGGGTGGCAATGTCAACAACAGAGACTCCTAGGAAGGTGGGGCAGGGAGGCCCCCGAGGAGCCTCCTGGGAAAGTTTAGGTAAGACATGACCAGGGCCTTGGTGAGGGAATGAAAGGCGAGAAGTTGAGAGATATTTAAGGGAGAAAATAAACAATGCTTGGTGACCAGCCCGATGAAGAGCAAGAGACCTAGATTTCTAGGTTGGGTAACTGAGTGAATGGGGAATGCCAGCTTAGACAGCGAAATTGCAACTCCCTGCTGAAGACCTCAGTGGATACCCGCAGGCCTGGGACAGAAGCCACTTCCTTGTCATGGTTTCCAGGATTCACTTTGATGTGGCCCCTGCTTTTAGAGCACATCTCCTGCCACTGTCTCCTTACTTCTCCCAAACACAGGGCTCTCTGTTCTATTTCTTGAGTGCTCAGGCTTGCTGCTGCCTCCTGGTTGTTGCACCTGTTGCCCTCTTTGTGTGAAAGGCTGTGCCCCAGTCCCCGCATGGCTGACTCCTTGTCATGATTTGGGTCTCCGTTCATGCCATTTCCTCAAAGTTGTCTTCCCTGCCCTGGTGCTCCCTTCCATTGTGGACCAATGCTACTCTCTCCCTACTACATCACTTCATATTCTGCATCTATTGATTTTTTCATATCACTCTGTTTTCTACACAACTTGTCACTACCTGAAAAGGTTTTTTCTATTTAGTGTACACAAACTTATTTCCTATCTTTCCCTCTAGAAATTAGATTCTGTGAAAAGGAACTTCATGTCGCACAACTCCAAAGGCACTAGCCTCAGAGAGTACAACATAATCGGTGCCTCTTGCAGGTGAATAATCTGGTAAACTTATCTAGGAGAGCAGGGACATCTTCAGCACTGTCCACTTTGGTGGCCCAGATCCTAGAAAGGTATATGGCACATAGTAAAGACATATTTATTGAGTAGCTAAAGAAGACAGGAAGCAAAGTGGCTTTGAGTATTCTGAGAGCTAATAATAAGGTAGAGTTTTGTATCTTGAGTTTGAATTGCCCAGCTTCCAGGTTGACATGTTTAGGAAGATGTTGGAAATACGAGTCCAGGAAGAGACATATACCAACCTATAGATGAAGCCTTGAACCTTTAGAAATATCCTTGGAGACCTAAGATCCAACTAGGAAAATAACATTCATGGATGGGGAGGTATGGTACCTAGCAGTTTAAATATATTATTAGGGAAAATAAGGGCTAGTAAAAGTATTTCATTGTGAGGTGTAGAAAGAGCCGTGATCCAACACTTCCATCTACAATCTTTTGGTGATAGCACCAAAGCAGGCAGCATGGTATAGATGTTGGTCAGAAGGAAACATGATGATTTTAGGAGATTCAGATCCATAAGACCACTGATCATCTATCCTCTGCCCATGCAAACACCACTAATCAATCCCAGGATTGTTTTTATTTTAAAAAAAGAGCTCATAACAACCTAAAATTGTTCGATGCAGCACTACAGGCAGACACCAGTAATCTAGACTTGAAACTTGTTATAGTTGCCATATAATAAGACTTTCTCCTAATTTCTACTTTGCAAGGCAGAGAAATAGTAAATACTGGGATGGAACTTCCTGTCTGGTGGGTCTTGTTCTGCTCAATATACCTATCCACAGGCATTTATAAAGGAAGACTCTCCATCAGAAATTGCTCAGGCACAGTTCTGTCTGCAGGCAGGAGAATGGACTTTGCCCTGGTGCCTGTCTACCCTCTCTTAGAGGAGGTGAAAAAGACAAGAATAAGGGCCCAACATTCAGGAAAGTTGGCTTTTAGTCTGGGAAAAAGCTATACATATGTGAATGTATACATACATGTTTGTATATACTTATATGTGTACACATGTGTATGTATATATGTACATATTTATGTATATACATATAATGAATTAAATCCATTATTTCAGGTGATGATGACTGATATTTAGTCTTTAGTAAGACTAAAAATGGAAGAGAGTCATATGGGGGGTGGGCAATATTAGATTAGGTGGTCAGATAAGGCCTGACCGCAAATCTGATCTCAGAAGGTGGCACTGATCTAAGATGTAAATGACAGAAAGAAATGAGCAGTGCAGAGTCCTCATTAACAGCATCCCAGGCAGAGGGAACAGCAGGTATGAGGGTCTGGAGGCAGAGATGAGCCTGCTGTGTTCAAAGAACTAAGGAGAGGCTGGTGCAGCTGCTGGGTTAGGCAGAGAAAGACATGATACGGCAGGGGCCAGACCATTTGGAGCTTCTAGACCCAGTAAGGAATCAGGATGTTATTCTAATTGTGATAGGAAATGCTTAGAAGTTTTATGCAATATGGAAGTAAGAGTTTGCTTCTTGTTTTCTTTTAAGGTCTCCATGGCTGCTTTATGGGACATTGGCCACAGGGAAGCAGGAGTGGAAGGAGAATGATGAGTCAGAAAAAGAGAATATTTGCCATAGGAAAAAAGTCCCAAGTCTCGCAGGTTGCTCCAACTGGTGTCCCTGCTGTCCGTAGCTGGCTGGCCAGCCGCTGTCCGGTCCTCCTCCGTCATGCTCTGTGTCCCCCAGATTGTAGTGGGCATCAGCCAGCACATTCTCTTTGGTGGTTTTTGCTTCCAAGTCTTGCTGAGTCTTATTCTTTGTCATCTCTCTAGCTGATGGCCTTTTGTGATTTCTGGGAATCAGGCTCACAATCCATATTTTATTCTTTATTTTAGCTAATCTCCTTTTAGGGTTAATGTAACTTTACTGTGCCTATTTGCTGTGATAAATTGGGTCACTTTGCTTATACCAGTAGAAAAAGCCTTCGGGCCTCAAATGGAATCACCCCATCACACCAATTCTTTGTCCCCAGAGAGTCTGGCAGGTCTTGTTCAGTCTAAATATGGTGTTTTTTTAGCTATGAATGTGTGATAGCAATGTCTACTTTTTGTCTGGCACTATACAGTTTGTAGTAAATATCTGAGTCTGATTTTTGCATATATTGTTTCATTGGGTCCCAAGGCAGAAAGGAAAGTGATTAATATTATCCCATTTTGCAGATGAAGAAACAGAGCTGCAGAGAGGTTAAACTATTTATTTGGAAATGTTTTGTACAAGATAAATTATTGCTCTTAATATCAAGCTTTCCTTCTTCTCAAGTATGCAAATTTTTGAAACATACTTTCTGAAACATACATTATCTGTGATCTTCTGATGAAAGTTTTGTGGCATATTACAACTTCCTCTGTGGGGTGCATGTATACGGAGACCAACGTTCCCCTTATGGTCTATACCTCTACTTAAATTCCCAAACACTCTATTGAGTGTACACCCATATGTGCCATTCAGCTGAGAGCTGCAGGCACTATACAGATGAATGAGGCATAGCCTCACCTTTGAGGAACAACTATCTGGTGGCAGAGAAGTTTGACAGTTGCCCTGTAGCCAAGACTCTATTAACAAAAGTCAACTCAAAGCAGCTTAACAAACATGACAAAGTATTGCCTCATGTAACTGAGAAATCTAAGAGTGCATCTGGTTGAGCATAGCTGGATCCATGGGGGGCTTAAATGATGTTAAGAAAACTCCTTATTTTCCCCCAGCCCCTTGGCTCTGTGCTTTTCTTTTCTCTATGGTAAATTTATTTTTAGCTAGACTATCTCTTTGTAGTGGAAAAGACAACCCCCACAAGTGCCAGGCATAATTACTCGTGTAGCCAGGTGCTCAGGTAAGAGAAAGCACCATACTCTGAGGAGGATGTGCCAGCAAAGGTCCAAGGAGTGATTTGTATTCCTCCAACATGGTTCATATGCCCATCTTGGAGCCAAATACTTTATCCAGATACATAAGAAGCACTCAATAATTGTAATAGAGGATTTGAGTAGAAGACAGTTATAGTACTTAAATAACGTTAGTAGTATATCCAAAATTGTGCTGATACTGAGTTCTCAAATGTTTTATGAGGTAGTGTATTGGTCACCTTAGGCTAAATCATGCTTCTGTAAGAAACATTCCCAAATATAAAAGCAGAGATTGTTTTTTTCTCACATTCATGCTCATTTCAGAATGGCTTCAACTCTATTACAGGTCACCTGCCTTTGGCTATATGGGCTGAGGAGCTGTCTCTCTTTGAGAACTGTGTATCTTCCGGGAGAGGGAAAAGGCAAGACAGCAGAGCCACAAAAGGCTCTTAAGGCTTTCCGCTTCCACCATTTCACTGGCCAAACATGATATCAACTAGGTAAGAGTAGATCATTCTCCTGTGGGGAAGAACAAAATCATTGAACAATAGTATGATCTACCAAAGGCAGGAAATGTGCTCATCTCATTACCAGTTTCTTAGGGCTGCGATCCCAAACCATCACAAACTGGATTAAAACCATCAAACTGTTATTCTCTCATGGTTCTGGAGACTAGAAGGTAGAAATCAAGGCATTGAGCTGTGCTCCCTCTGCAAAGCTCCTTTGGCCTTTCTCTGTGTTCTGGTGGCCGTGGCTGTCCTTGCCGTTCCTGGGCCTACAGACGTATCACTCCATTCGCCACCTCTGTCATCGCATGGCTTTCTTCCTTCTGTCTGTGTACCTTCATATGGCTTCTGCTCTCTCTATGTCTTTGTTCAAAATTCCCTCTCTGTATAAGGGCTTCAGTCATAGGGTCCACCCTAGTGTGCTATGACCTCATCTTAACTAGATCATACCTACAAAAGCCCCGCTTACAAATAAGGTCACACTCACAGGTACCAGGGCTTGGGATTTGAACATATCTTTTTGGAGGACACAATTCAACCTATGACATCCCATTTTAAAGGTGAAGAAACTGAATCACAAAGCAGGTAAATGACCTGTTTGTGAGCCTACAACTAGTGCATGATAAAGCTGGAAATGAACCTGAGCAGCTGGGCACAGAGCCTGTGTCCCTAACAGTTACACAATGCCTACATAAAAATTTCAGAACCCTGGGTTTTTGCTTCAATTCTGCCTGTACCTAGCTACAACCCTGGGGGCCTCAGTTCAATATCTCTCAAACGGGTGTGAGATCATCCATCCTGATTTTCAGGGTTGCTCCCAAGTGCGAATTTACTCTTACATGGTAGGTGATAAAGCCCTTTGAAAAAGTACCAAGTTTTTCATATTCAAAGCAATGTTATTTGTAACTGTTCAGGATGAACTAAATTCATGTTCCCTACAGGCATCACCATAAAAACCTATAATATTTGGTGAAACAATCAAATTGGTCTTCAGCTTTTCTGTTATAAATGTCTCAATAGTAAGCATGAAACTGTAATATACAGTAAAAGAATCCATTACATAAAATGCATATATATCACACATTTTGGGAGAATTATGTGGGTACAACCAGTGGACTGAATGGTACCCAAATATTATGCAGGCAGGATGTGCTGTATAAAGTGAAGTTAGGACAACCCTAGATGTTTTGGCTATTGGAACAATACCTTTCTTTTTGTTGTCAAGCCAATATGAGTTTTATTTCTCTCACCTGCCATGTAAATAGTCTTTGTAATAATACCAGCTCTTGCTTAGTTCTCTTGGTATCCACTGCACAGCTCTGACAATGATTCTCCTCCCTCCTAGATGACTCCTTATTCTCATACTACTTTTTCTTCCCCTGTTCTCCCCAAAGAGAACAAGCTTCTGACTTACATGGTCTCCTCTTTCACCTGTGACCCCTCCCTTGGTGATCTTACTCACTACCTGACTTCACCTCAGTGGGAAACCTCAGAGCCAGAAGAGACAAGGGGTGCCTCACTTGACAATAGTAGGGGGCAGCATCCCCCAAGCTTGACTGTATCTATTTTCTGAAGTTTCCCAACACCCCATCTCTAATCCTTGTCTGTGGCATAAGAATGTGGATGATAACATATGATGGGTGTCAAAGTAAGGCCCTGAAGCATGTGGTTGTGTGTCTTCCCTACCACGCCTCCTCCCTAGCCATGATTCACTGCAATCTCCTCCTCTCTGTTGCTTCTTTCATTAGTGGTTTTTGTAAACTGTAGAAGTTGTGGTTAAAAAATTAAAATAACACCCCATTGCACACTCCAGATGTAGCACATATTTAAGAGTTTGTGGCTATCCTTATAGGTCTTCCCCTATGGACACACACACACACATTGATGGGCATCATTATACATTACCAGCCTATTTCCTCTGTCACTTTTCTGTCTTCCTTTCCTTTTGTCTTCTTCTACCTTTATTTTTCCTTTAGTTCTTATGCCTTAGTTTTCTTGAATATATCCATAGGGCCGACACGCTTATCTAACATCAAGGCCACTGCATACAGTTGTACAACTGCACAACTCCAGGGTGCACAACTCTAATGACATCTTGGAGTCCCTCCAAGATGATATGCTGCAGTATTTGTCAGTCTTGCATGAAGCCCTTTATAGGTTTTATTTTACAAAACATTTTATTTCACTTCTACAGCAATCCTGGATGGTAGACCAAGAGAATCAACTGACCTCTTCTGTCATTGAACCAATGAGAGACCCAGAAAGAACCAACTGTAGGACTCTTGGCCAAGCTGAATGTCAACCTCTTCCCAGCCTACTTCCTAATATGGAAAAAAGCATTCATATGCATAGAGGGTATTCAGTCTAAAGTTAGCCTTAACAGAAGCTAAAAAGACTTGGCCAGAGGTGAGGGAGAATAAAGAAGATATAAAGCTCCCATGAAAGTGAAAACATAAAACAGGTAAGAAAGGTGGGCTTTGTAAAAGGTGAGAAGGAAGGCAAATCCATTCATGAAGGATATTTGTTGGACGATCCCATGCCAGGACTTACCTGCTTAGCCCAGGAAGACATCTGAGCCTTCCATCCACGTTGCTGGTATGAGGATACTGAGGGCTGGTATTTCCACTTTTCTAACTCTCCCATCCCTTTCCTCCAAGCCAGCCTATACATCCTCTTTTGTAATTCATGCAAATGGGAGTCTCTGCATTTTTTGCCAACGTGGGAGTACATTTGGTTTTCAAGTGCATGGGATCATGTTATATTTTGAAATAAAAATTGTAATTGGATTATGCTCAATTGCAGTTGTAATAGTATTGGCTCTTGGTATGGAATATGAATGAGGTCAACTGAAAGGAAGTAATTCATTCCTCTAATGACAACATCTTGGTTTATGAAATGAAAAAAAAGATCAAAGCTCATTCAAAAATAAATGTATTTAATGGAACAGTAGTTAAAGAAGTCTGGAGAATTCATTTTATTTTCATTGTATAATATCTGTTTCTCATAGAGTTGGCTTGTTCTTCAGTACTTTTTATTCTTACAGCTGTGCATGGGTTTGATTAGCTTAATTAGAGTTAATGTCTTGGGAGCAGAATGTGGGGCTGTGAAAGTTTGGTTTCTTGAAGACTTTGAAAAAGAACTGTTGGCCTCATTCTACATAAATTCAGAATCAAAAAAGTCTGATGATTATTATCATCTTAAAATAATTGAAGCACTGCTAAAAATAAAAACCAGAAGGAGAAAAATTGAACCCGAATCAAAGGAATGGAGTTATCCCAGATTTGGATACAATTCTTGCAGCAAATTGAGCTTGAATCTGAAGTCTTAGGTAATTTAAGATGAATGCCAAAACTCTTTTTTTTTCCTTTCTGAGCTGTTAACAAGGGCGGCTTCCCCAGTTTTTCACAATATTTTCTGCAGTTTCCCTCCTGTTATCTGTGTCTCCACTTAAGACTGAGAGGAACCTCAGAGGGAAATGCCACTTTGGATTAAAGCCTTGTCAGATCTCATTTTCTAACTGGTACAGGGTCTAACGTTCGGAGCTGGAGGTCTCTAGGAAGGCACGACTGCTGGCTCTGACAATGATTCTCCTCCCTCCTAGATGACTCCTTATTCTCATACTACTTTTTCTTCCCCTGTTCTCCCCAAAGAGAACAAGCTTCTGACTTACATGGTCTCCTCTTTCACCTGTGACCCCTCCCTTGGTGATCTTACTCACTACCTGACTTCACCTCAGTGGGAAACCTCAGAGCCAGAAGAGACAAGGGGTGCCTCACTTGACAATAGTAGGGGGCAGCATCCCCCAAGCTTGACTGTATCTATTTTCTGAAGTTTCCCAACACCCCATCTCTAATCCTTGTCTGTGGCATAAGAATGTGGATGATAACATATGATGGGTGTCAAAGTAAGGCCCTGAAGCATGTGGTTGTGTGTCTTCCCTACCACGCCTCCTCCCTAGCCATGATTCACTGCAATCTCCTCCTCTCTGTTGCTTCTTTCATTAGTGGTTTTTGTAAACTGTAGAAGTTGTGGTTAAAAAATTAAAATAACACCCCATTGCACACTCCAGATGTAGCACATATTTAAGAGTTTGTGGCTATCCTTATAGGTCTTCCCCTATGGACACACACACACACATTGATGGGCATCATTATACATTACCAGCCTATTTCCTCTGTCACTTTTCTGTCTTCCTTTCCTTTTGTCTTCTTCTACCTTTATTTTTCCTTTAGTTCTTATGCCTTAGTTTTCTTGAATATATCCATAGGGCCGACACGCTTATCTAACATCAAGGCCACTGCATACAGTTGTACAACTGCACAACTCCAGGGTGCACAACTCTAATGACATCTTGGAGTCCCTCCAAGATGATATGCTGCAGTATTTGTCAGTCTTGCATGAAGCCCTTTATAGGTTTTATTTTACAAAACATTTTATTTCACTTCTACAGCAATCCTGGATGGTAGACCAAGAGAATCAACTGACCTCTTCTGTCATTGAACCAATGAGAGACCCAGAAAGAACCAACTGTAGGACTCTTGGCCAAGCTGAATGTCAACCTCTTCCCAGCCTACTTCCTAATATGGAAAAAAGCATTCATATGCATAGAGGGTATTCAGTCTAAAGTTAGCCTTAACAGAAGCTAAAAAGACTTGGCCAGAGGTGAGGGAGAATAAAGAAGATATAAAGCTCCCATGAAAGTGAAAACATAAAACAGGTAAGAAAGGTGGGCTTTGTAAAAGGTGAGAAGGAAGGCAAATCCATTCATGAAGGATATTTGTTGGACGATCCCATGCCAGGACTTACCTGCTTAGCCCAGGAAGACATCTGAGCCTTCCATCCACGTTGCTGGTATGAGGATACTGAGGGCTGGTATTTCCACTTTTCTAACTCTCCCATCCCTTTCCTCCAAGCCAGCCTATACATCCTCTTTTGTAATTCATGCAAATGGGAGTCTCTGCATTTTTTGCCAACGTGGGAGTACATTTGGTTTTCAAGTGCATGGGATCATGTTATATTTTGAAATAAAAATTGTAATTGGATTATGCTCAATTGCAGTTGTAATAGTATTGGCTCTTGGTATGGAATATGAATGAGGTCAACTGAAAGGAAGTAATTCATTCCTCTAATGACAACATCTTGGTTTATGAAATGAAAAAAAAGATCAAAGCTCATTCAAAAATAAATGTATTTAATGGAACAGTAGTTAAAGAAGTCTGGAGAATTCATTTTATTTTCATTGTATAATATCTGTTTCTCATAGAGTTGGCTTGTTCTTCAGTACTTTTTATTCTTACAGCTGTGCATGGGTTTGATTAGCTTAATTAGAGTTAATGTCTTGGGAGCAGAATGTGGGGCTGTGAAAGTTTGGTTTCTTGAAGACTTTGAAAAAGAACTGTTGGCCTCATTCTACATAAATTCAGAATCAAAAAAGTCTGATGATTATTATCATCTTAAAATAATTGAAGCACTGCTAAAAATAAAAACCAGAAGGAGAAAAATTGAACCCGAATCAAAGGAATGGAGTTATCCCAGATTTGGATACAATTCTTGCAGCAAATTGAGCTTGAATCTGAAGTCTTAGGTAATTTAAGATGAATGCCAAAACTCTTTTTTTTTCCTTTCTGAGCTGTTAACAAGGGCGGCTTCCCCAGTTTTTCACAATATTTTCTGCAGTTTCCCTCCTGTTATCTGTGTCTCCACTTAAGACTGAGAGGAACCTCAGAGGGAAATGCCACTTTGGATTAAAGCCTTGTCAGATCTCATTTTCTAACTGGTACAGGGTCTAACGTTCGGAGCTGGAGGTCTCTAGGAAGGCACGACTGCTGGCCTTGCTCAGAGACGCTGTTGGGCCCTGCTTTCCCCACCATCCTCCCTCCTCAGCAAACCATTGGTCTAGCCCTGGGCTGAGTTTGGGGCCATCCCTTGTTAGGGGGAAGGGAAGTTCCCCCAATCTAGGACTCCACAGAGGATTAAGTATTTTGTTCTTGAAAGAGAAAAATATTGAAGGACAGGGTGGGGTGGGGGGTATTCTAAAATTTTACCTTTGAAAACCTGGCCTTTAAATTCTTTGCAGTAAGTGAAAACATGCTTTAATCAATTAGCCATCAATGAGATATTAATTCAGTTATCCAACAAATATAAATGTTTGCATGCCCACAATGCGGCAGGCCGGTGCTTCACTGGAGAAAAGTGGTGAATAAAGTGACTACATTGCTGCCCTTATGGGTTTACATTCAGTGTGGTGTGTGTGTGTGTGTGTGTGTGTGTGTGTGTGTGTGTGTGTGTGTGCGCAAGCATGTTGGGGAGGGCATAAATAAACAAACAACAATTTTGATTAGTGCTTAGTGCTAGAAAGGAAATAAACAGGCTAATGACATATAGCAGGACTCAAAAATTCTTCCCATTCTATTTAACATGCTTGGCATTTAAAAAAATCAATGTATTTAAGTTACTTTATAGAGTTTTTTCCCTTATAAAAATTATAGACCAACTACAATACATGTTGATATAGTAAATATTTTGTTAACTTGCAATTTTTATTTAATGCCACTTTTGAACATTTACTTCAAGTGTCTTTTACTCTTCTTTCTATTTCTGAACCAAAGAGGTTTTTATAGTTTTCAGTTGCACCATAGTGTTAAATGTTGTTCGCGCTGTAATTCCTTGAAAATGTATCAGTCCATATAGGGGCTGCTCCTTCAGTTATTCAGCAAATACTAATTCAGTATCTGCTCTGTGCCAGATTGAGTGCTGGGTGCTGGGTTCTGGATGCTGGTTCAGGTACCTGTGTGAGAGCCAGTTCTGTGTTAAATGTGATATCATTCCAGAGTCACATTATTTTACTAAGACTGTAGATAATAGAGAATCTACTCATTTATACTATTTGCCTATCAAGTTCTTTTTCCAGGTGAGATTTAAAGGTAGCGTTCAGCCCAGCCCAGGTCCAATTGCTGTCAGTTATTTTTGATGAAGCTTTTACTATTTGACTTCTGCTCCAGAGAATCACAGCCACCTGTGGGAAGGTATGGATGGGGAAAGGTCTCCAGAACTGCAAGGAACCCTGATATCTCCATGACCCTGGTGTGGACCACTTACGAGCGGAAGACATTTATGAAGGGAAAGGGATGATATCCTCTGGGGAAGAAAGTTGAGGTTAGGGGAAGCTGTAAACACATGGTTGGAGAAAATTCTAAATCTTTTAGCATAAAAATGAAAATGCTTCTAGCAAGAAAATGAGCAGTGTGACAGAAAAGCTCACAGGGGGCCGAGGCCTTGCGCAGTGCTCTGAATTAGACACCCTCTTCTGGGAGGGGCCTTGGGGCTGCACCTCAGAGGGGCTGCTCTGGATGCCTAGATAGGGAGCCAGGGAAAAGAGGACACATGGGCCCTCAGTCTTCCCTCTTGAAGATAAGCATTTGTAAAATTTTATTAGGATCCCAAATTGTCTAATTTATCCCAAAGGACAGAAGTTTCAGTGAGATTCATGTAGGTTCTTAATGTTAGTTTCTTCTTTGCAATATTTGTTCAGAGTCTGTATTAGTTATCTACTAGTGCATAACAAATTATCCCATCGCTTTGTTGCTTCAGACAACAAATGTGTATAAGCCCACAATTATGAGAGTGGCTGAGGGGGTCAAGAATCTGGATGCAGCTTAGATAAGTGCCTCTGACTCAGGATCTCTAGCAAGGCTTCACTCAAGGAATCAGCTGGGGCTGCTGTCATCTCAAAAGTGAACCTGCGGAAGGTTCTATGTTGGCAGGCCCTGGGCCCTCACTGGCTGTTGGTTGAGTTTTGGGACTTGGTCTCTCCATGTAGCTTTTCACAGCATGGCAGCTTTCTTCCTTCCTGGGGAAAAGAGAGAGGGAGGAAGGAAGAGAGAGGTGGTAGCCAGAGTCCTTTTGTACCCTAACCTTAGAGTGACATCTCATCA